ATAAAAGTCCAAACCCAAATGGCTCCTAAGTCCTTAGAGACCTGGATCACCGAGAACCAGCAATCTGAACTCTTCAGATGGGAGAGAATTCACCTGGGAATTCTCAGGCACCACCCAACTGTCTGTTCCAGCTGTGACACCATCAAAAGGGGACCCGTTTTCTAGCTCCAGTTCAGATGAGACCCAAGACTGGGGAAATGTTGCTCGACTGGTTATTCCAGGACGAGTTACACCGTCGTGAGAGGGAGAAGCCATTGGAACTTGGGTCTCCTCTAAAGGCAGGCGTGAGCCCCAGTCGCTGGGCTACGGGGCACTGCCTGGTGAAGCTGGGCCGGTGTTTAGAACTAATTAAGCCGGCCCTGGAGCAGGGACCGAGTCATTCTCAGTCACGCGGCCAGGCCCAGCGACCAGTCAGTGTCATCCTGCAGTCCTATGAATTGCCACTATGAATGACCCGCGTTCAAATCCCTCCGCCGCGGCAGGGGAGTGCCCCGACACCGGCTCCAGGCTATGGGGATTCGTTCCCATCAGCCCAACGCAGATGTTCTTCATTTGCCAAAACCAGTTTTGCAATTTTTGGATGTGGTTTGAGCCAAACCGATTCTTCTTCCTTCTTCGGAACGTCCAGGGACCCGGAAAAAAAATCCGTTCTGCGCCCAGCTCTAGGAGCGGGGGTCTGACCCCCTAGTACCAGCCTGGTCACGCGGCTGAAGCTGGAAACGACCACCATGCCCAGCTCTGCTTCCTCCCGCCTCTCCCTCCTGGGGCTTGGGCTGTACTAGGGCACCTGGGCTTCCAAGGCTCTCGCTCTACTTACCACCTTCAACGTCTACCACGCCGGGAAGCCGATCCCTTTTGGCCTGTTTTCACTCCAGCTCAGTCGGTAGCTGCCATCGGTGGAGAATTCCGCCTGTCCTGATTCACCCCACTCTCCTCCCCGGGGGTTGGGTTATCCCAGGCAGCATTTCCATGCTTCTTCTGACACCCATAAGCTCATCACTAAGAACCTGCTTAGCAAGTTCCCTTCCAGGCCATCCACACCCTTCCCTCCACCCCCACACCCAATCAGCCCTATCTGCCGCTCCATCTTCTGACCGCATCCCTGTCCCAGTGTTCCTGACATGTTCCAGGTGCGTCATCCCTCCTGGATCTCTCACTCCTCTATGACCTTCAGTGCCAAGGTCTGATGGGATCCATCTGGGACAGTTAACCCCCAAAATCCCAGCATCCTCCAGGCTGGAACCTGCTGGCCTCTGAAAGTGAGCATGCAAAACTGGCCTTCAGAGATTCCACCTGGGGCTGATTTACAACAGCGGGTGAAGATCACTTTGCATCCGAATCCAGGCAGGGTGGGTGGAGCCCGGAGGCGCCGGGCCTACTTCTGGCATTGGGCAATGTCTGACAATAAGTCACACCAACACTGAGCACTTGCAGCACACGGGACATTTCGTCAGAGCTTTGGAGCTCCACGTTTCACTGCCCATTGTTATCCCCGTGCGCCGCACGGTGGGGAAGATCCCAGGGTGAATGCAAGGGCAGAGTCAAGCATTGAACCCAGGCGTCCTGCCTCCCAGGCTGCAACTCTTGCCCTAGATGACACTTCTCCATGAGCGCATCGCAGGCGGAGTCTAACCCAGTCTCTCCGCATTTCGCACACGACCACTCGCTGCATCACTCGGAAACAGCCCGAGATGGGACAGAGAAACGGGGAGAGGCCCCTGAGACAGAGTTAACGCACTAACCCGGCGCTGCTGGAGATCTGCCGTCCAGGAAGCAATGAAGTTGGCTGGTTCTCCCGCCAGCCCTCCAGCCAACTGGGTGTCGCGGCCTGCGGGGCGTCGCTGCTCAAGGAAAGCCCCAGGAGACGGAGGAGCACGTGTGGTTGTGCCACGCGGCCGCAGAGCCTGCCAGAGATGGGAAGCTCCTGCCCAACCTGTGCCACGTTCATGCAGATGCCACCGTCACTCCCCGGCTTGCAGGTTGCTCAGCTGGGGAGCTGGTTAGCCAGTGGATTCCCACGCCCTGTGTCTCTGCAGTCAGCACTGATCGGGGGCCAAGCCGACGCTCTCACTGCCGGGCCCCAGCACTGCACAAAGACAGACCAGCCCTTGCCCGAAGAAATCCTGCCTGAGCTCTTACAATACACGGGCAGACTTGTCTAGTGGCTGGAGCAGGCAATTGTCAGGACTCCTGGGTTCTATTCCCAGCGGGAGAGGGGAGCGCGGTCTAGTGGTGAGAGCAGGAGACACCTCGGACTCACCAGGCTGGTTCAGACCTAGGGTCCGTCCAGCCCTGTCTTGGACATCCCACACCTTGCCCTGGCAGCTGGAGGAAGTCCTCCCAGCGCTATCCCACAATGCTCCTGCTCACCCACAGGGAGCTCCAAGCACTGACTGTCACTGGTCAGGCCCGAGAGCCACTGGGCAGGTCTTTAGCTGGTCTTGGCTCTGGCCGGCCCCCAGCCCAATCCAGGTAGCCCAAGAGCACCGTGGGCAGGCCCACATGCCCTCTTCCGGCTGCATTTCTGCCTGTGCCAAGTGACAGGGTGATTGGCCAAGGGGAGGTGTCATCACAGCCGCGGTCGGGGGCCCGGTGTGTGCAGGGGACGTGCATTGCACGGGCGCTAGGACGGGTCCAGGAGCGGCTGAGAAAGTTCCCATTTCTAGACACTCGGACACAATCTGCCACTTCCACTCACCACCCTGAGAGACCTGAATCGGGGACGGGGCTGGGGTAGCTGGAACATCCGCTTTGAAATCAGATGTAGCAGCCCAGGAAATGCCCGGGGGGAACTCCTGGCCCTACTGAGGTCAGCAGCAGTTTGCCACTGACTTCTAGGGGGCCAGGATCTCCTCCCCACGGCCTGCTTCATGCCCATAACATGTACACCCGGATGTGCAAACAGGCATTTTGCACGTGCAAAACACCCCCAACACGGTTTCAGCGGGTTGCGCTAGGGATGAAGCAGGCCCGCTGCAGCATGCTGGAGGCAGCATTGTCTAATGGACGCAGCTTGGAGCTATGACTCAGAAGACCTGGGTCCTTTTCCTGATCCTGCCCCTGCTTTGCTGGGTGACCTAGGGCAAGTCCCGTCCCCTCTCCGTGCCTCAGTTTCCCCTCCCACCCTTTGTCTCTTGTCCAATGGCTCCTGGTGTATTGGCCAGGGTGAATACACTGCATCCCCAATGCCCTCTCCTCCCGCACCAAGCCATGAGAGGAACAGGTTCTGCAGCGTCGCCATCTCTCCGGATACCATCTTCGGCCCACAGCGTGACACTGCCACCGTCTGGGAGCTTCCGGGTAGCTACCCAACCAGCCCCGGCTAGCCCACGCTAAGGGTCTCTGCCAGCACGAGGGTCTGCGCCCCACCCTGGATCCATGAGTGGGGGTCACGGCTTTGCTGCAGACGCCCTAACAAGGCCCCTGAGCGACGGGTGGGGATGGATCAGCCGGGGGAGAGAAGGGCTGGGGCTTCCCTCCCTGCCCCCACAGAGCAATTCAGCCAGCTGCAGCCAGTTCTCCTCTCAAAGAAACCCCCTCCTGGACGTGTCGGAGGCTCAGGCATGACCATGACGGGTGACCGCGCTCCAGGCCCCTCTGCAGCGCCTGGCGTCTGGCCTCAGACAGAAGAGACGCCAGGACCCAGCTCCGTGCAGCACCCAGCTCTCCCCAGACCGGGGCTGGCTGGGCAGCCCCGGGGGCCTGTGGCCAAGCTGCCCATAGCACCCAGCAATGCACCCTGTCCGGAGCTGGGAGCACCGTGCCGGGGACCAGGAGGGGAGGCCAGCTGCCATCCAGTCCTCAGCCTCTGCTCAGACAGCCATGGGGGCGGGGGACCAGCTGAGAGCAGCTCGGGCCTCTCCACCACCATCAGCTGGGAGCAACTTTCATCCGCTTGCCCCTGGGACAGAACTGAGCCCCCAGCCCCTCCCTGTCCTGTTGCTGACTATTAGATGCCACAGTGGGAGCTGAACAGATCATGAGAAAATGGGGGGTCCCCGTCTGGGGGCGCCTCTATCCTCCCCCTTTACCTGGTAAGATGCTGGTTCCACCTGCACATCCGGCCTCTGCTCTGTGGCGTGTCCATGGCCTCTGCATCCCTCATCATGGCACCAGCCTGCCCGACCTCTAAGCTCCTGGGGTGCAGGGTACCCGCACCCCTCCTCCAGGGCTGACCCAAACTCCCCCCTCCCCCCTGCTCCAGCCGGCCCAGGCTTTCAGCGCTCACGGCGGAGCCCCCAAGAACAGCTGGGGGACGAGTCCTCCTGGGGCGTGTCCCTGGGCGACCGATTGAGGTAACAACGCGGTAACTGTTGTCCAAGCTCTGCTCCCAGGACTGCAGGCTGGGAACTGGCTGTGGGGGGGGACCTTCCAGGGGCCAACCAGCCCTCCACCCCATAGCCGGCTGGGGCCCCCAGTCAACCCTCTTAGGACCACTTCACTCCAGTAATGAGCTGAGGGGCGTGAGCGTCTGCACCACTGCCCCCCGGTGGAGAGAACAGGACCTGCTGCCCTGTGTGTCAGAGGCTCCAGACTGCTGGGAACCTGAACCTCAAAACTCAGGGGAAGCTGCTTCAGAGGGAGTGAAGGAGAACAAGGGTCCCCAGCCCCACTATCCCCAAAGGGGCTGGGGGAAGGGTGAACTTCCCCCTCCCCCACTCACCCCCAACGTCAAATGGGCCCTGGGTTCCCCTCCACACAATTCATTGGCCAGAAATGCCCCCACCTCTGGTATCTTCAGAGAGGCGTCTCAGCTGGTGACTCTGGGCTCTTCGGGGGAGCACTGAGGCAAGCCCCCCCCCCCAGCAAACATCAGCGCGGAGTGGCTGGGCCAGAACAGCTCATCCCAGTCCCCCTGGGGCCAGAGTGCCCCCCAGTCCCTGGGCCCCGCCCTGCCAGAGCCGTGGGGAGCAGGGGAGAGCTGGTGCAAGCAAGGGAGGAATTCAGGAAAGGGGAAGGGCCATGGAAGCCATGCGGGAGGGGTTTGAAAACCCATTTTATTGTGACACACAGAGAGTCTATTCGGCCACGAACGAACCCCCATCCCCATCCCACGTCAGCATGGAGCTTGCGGGGAAGGAAACCCCCCATGCCCAGCCATCGCTGCTGGGCTCCTGCCCTGGTGGGAGTTCACACGGGTGACACGACTCCGCTGGGTCTCAGCTCAGCCCGACGGGGGGCTCGTGGGCTCAAGGCAGGTCGGGGTGGGCCTGGTGTGGTGATCAGGGAACGGGACGAGCTGGTCTGGCACGGCACCAGGGCAGCCCCAGCTCGCCTGGCTCCGGGCAGGTGTCTGGGTCGCTCCGGCCGGCCGGGGACCCTACCCAGCCAGCCAGTAGGGCGGGAAAGGGAATGCCGGCAGGTAACTCAGGCTCAGGTCACTCCTCGGCCCAGCGAGGCCTCCGCTTTTGAGTTCTGTCCCCGGCCACGTCCCCTCCAGAGGCCAAATCCTGCTGGGCGCTGGCGGAAGGTCGCCTGGGGGATACCGGGAAGGTAGCGCCGCGCCACCCGGGGCCTTCTTCGCAGAGGCCGGGAGATGCTCTGCTCCTGGCGGGTTGCCCTCGGCCACGGGCCGGAGCCTCGGCCCCAACAGGGAGCGCCCCGCGGCGCCATCTGCCCCCCTGGGGCTCACGGCCTCCCCCTGGTCCGGCTGCTGGCGCTGGCCCTTGCGGAACTTGGCTCGGCGGTTTTTGAACCACACCTGGCAGGGGAGGGGCCAAAGGGATGATTAATGACTCGGCCGGCGGCCAGCACCGTGCACGTAGGACCCACCCGCGCTTGCTGGGGCGCTTCTTCCCCCTTGCGGGGGGGGCACAGACCTGCCCAGAGGCATGACAGCCCCATGGTTCCCTGCCCCACACAGTCTAGATGGGGGGAGATGAAGGCCAGCCCCAAGGGGAGGGGGGCAGAGGGAATGCCGGGATTGCCCCCAGTGCCTGGCTCACACTCCTTCACGCCTCGTGGTCCATGCACTGTGCCAACTCTCTGCCCGCTCGGAGAGCCTTTAAAACCACTGTCTGCCTGGGACACGAAAGGGTAAATTCCTGAAATGCCAGACTCCTCCAGCCCAGCTCCCAAGGGAGCCACTAGCAAGACGCCCCCGTAGCCCAGATCCAGCCCGGTCTGCAGCTCCCCAGGGCGTGGGTGCGGGGCGCTCGGTGGGGTTACCTGGACCCTGGCCTCGGGCAGGTTGACGAGCACGGCCAGCCGCTCTCTGGTCACCGCGTCGGGGTACTGGGTTTTCTCAAAGGCTCTCTCCAGCGCCTCCACCTGGTGGCCGGTGAATGCCGTGCGGCTCCGGCGCTGCTTCTGGGGGATCCCGTAGCGCGCTTCCAGCAGGAGCTCTGGGGAGCAAGGGAAGGGACTGGAATGAAAGAACTAAAATCCTCTGTGCGGAGTCAACTGCTGGGGCCTGCCCTATGCCCAGCCACAGGAAAACGATCTTTGGGCAGCTCTCCTGAGAGAGCACCTCCACATACTTCACTTGGGCTCATACACCCACCACTGAAATGCAGCCACCTCTGGGGTTGGGCATGGCAGCTGTTTCACAGCCCACAGCAATGCTACACAACCAGTTAGAAGAGAAGCTGAAGGAGACTTCTGGGGGCGGATTTGGGCAGGGCCAATGGCATCTCCGAGGCTGGAATTTGGCCAGGACGCCTGAGTTCATATTCCTGCTCTTGTAAAAATTAAAGTCCCACGGGACCTTTAAGGACCCGATACCCCTTCCCGCAGCACAGTGCCCGACACGCCACGGTGGGGCTGGCTCAGACCCCTGCGGCCAGCAGCACATCTTAGGCCAGTGGTTTCCCAGCGACCAGGCCCACCTGAGGCCCAACCATTTATTCCTACTGGGGAGCAGACAAGGAACCGTTCAGACCCGTCGTCCCGGCTCAGGGAGAGATCTCCGTCCACAGCGCAGCTGTGAAACCTCTCCAGTGCAGAACACTACTCAAGGGTCCCCGTCTGGTACCTTTCCTATAAGGAATGTGACTGCAATCGGCCGGGTGTGTCCGTGGGTCCTGGCCCTGTGCCCTTAGATCACAGCGTGCCCGGGCTGGGCTGCTGCTCTGGCCCCCAGCTCCCAGTCTTTGCTGTGCTTCTCCTCACAACCCCGGTAAATTGCCAAAGCCTCGAGCCACGCCCTGCTCCCCCCATGCCAGACCCCCCGCTCCTCGCCCACCCTACCTGCTAGCCGATCCACCACGCTCACTGCACGCAGGGAGGAGGGCTGGGGGGCCGGGGCGGGCGGCAGCTGGTGCAGGCTGTAGAGCAGGGAGAGGGGGTTCATGCTGCCGAGGGTGTGCACGCCCCCGCTGAAGTAGTACATGGAGGGGCCCCGCTAGCAGCCGGGGGTCTCACGCCAGGGCCCTGGAAACAAAAGGCAGCTTTAAAAACATGGTCACCATAAAGAGAGCAGCTCAACCACTCTCCGTGTAGGAAGGGGGGGAGCGGCCGGGGTTACGCCGGGGGGGGCTAGGGCAGCGGGGCAGTGCCCTGCGGAGAGAGGGAGGACAGAGCGTGCCAGGGATCTCCTAACGCAAAGTTTTGGCCCTCAAATTTGTGGCCTGAATTATTGTTTGTTCTTTGTATTCCAGGAACATCTAGAGGCCTCGGCCAAAGCTCGGGGCCTGGCATGCAGGGTGCTGTACGCCCAGGGAGAGGGAGACTCTGCCCTCCGGGAGCTGACAGTCTAAACAGGACAGACAATGGGCGGGAGGGGAAACTGAGGCACGGAGCAGGGCTGTGACTGACCCCAGGTCACCCAGCAGGTCACAGCTCACACACGGAGCCCTCAGCTACACACGGGTCTATCCACCCCCACGGTGGGTGTCTGTACATACCGCTCCCACGGACGCCCCCTCACATGGCCCTATTCACACAAACGGTCCCTCGCCGTGCCCCTCAGGTTGGGACAGAGCCAAACCTCCCCCAGGCCGGCAGCACATGACGTGCTGGGATTCCTGCCCTGGGTATAAACGGCTTCTTCTGTCACCGAGCTCCCCTTTCTTTCTGAGGCCAACCATTCGAACCAATCAGAGCGAGGGGTGGGGGGCGGTCGGTGTGGAACGAGGCCAGCTGAGAGCGATGCCCCTCACCCACATCCCGTGTGTCTTCCCCTCCCCAAGCGCCCCGCGTGCTCTGTGCATACCTGGGGGGTGAGGTTATGTGCACATGCCTGTGTCTGGGGGGCGCTTTGTACCCAGGATTCCTAGTAATACGCCTGTGGACTCCCCAAAACCATCCCTCCCCCCATGGCATTGATACACTCAATTCCCCCTTGGCTCAGAACTGCCCTTGGGCATCATTGATCCAGATGCCGCTTTAGCCCTGCCTGGTAAACCAGTGATCCATCCACCAGCTCTACTGCACTTCTCTGATCTCCAGCCAGTTCACCAAGAACTTCCTGTGGTGCCCAGGGCTGTAGACAGGGTTAGGGAATGATGCTGGGTAGGTCCCCTGCTCCGTCACAGGCTCCCTGTGGGACCCTAGGGTATGTCCACACTGCACACCCAGTCCAGGCTCTGACTCTGGTTTGAGCCCGAGCCCTTCCTCTGTCCACACACAGATCAGCCTGAGTCAAGTCAGCCGGGACCCAGGGCCTAGGACCCTGTTAGTGGGGTGGGTCGGAGCCCAAGCCTCCCAGTGACTCGGTCCGAGCCCTGCCATTTCGCAGTGTGGACGCAGTGCCATCTGGACGTTAGCGAGACCCAGGTCCAGCGACTGAGAGCCCAGGTTTACAAAGCAGTGTGTGGACGCTCAAGCACAGGCTTGGAAACCCCGACACCACAGACCCAGGTTTACAATGCAGGGTAGGGTACATCCACACTGCAAAAAACCACGGCAGCGAGGCTCAGAGGCTGGGTCAACTGATTCAGGCTGATGGCACGGGGCTAGGAACAGCCATGTGGACCGTCCTGAGCTCTGAGCCCAAATGAGTTAACCCGGGCTCTGAGACGTGGCGCCGCGGGGGTCTATTGCAGTGTGGACGGCCCCTCAGTGTCTGAGCTCCTCCTCTGAAAAGTGGGAAGAGCAGCATGTCTGGAAATGAACCGTTTCATCCCCGTTTCGTTCGATGAGGGACCGACGCTGCCTCTCGGCTTCCTTTGAGCTAAGCGCGTTTAGACGTTTCGGTTAGATTAAAACATTGACGTAACATGACACTGTCTGTACAGAGCCCCTGGTCAATGTTCTTTTAATACTTCCCATTATGGGGCAGCGTTTCCACATTATCGACGGGGCCAAATCAACTTCTTTTTTTTTTTTTTTTTT